CAATGGTTTACAACCTAAGGCATGTTAAGGCAACAAAGTGGCATTACAAAGCATGTATGCTAAGAAAGTATGGTGTACCAAAACCAACTAAAAACCAAGGCATATTATGACATAATAAGCACAAAAATTAGCTAAGGCATGGTCAACAAGAGCCTAAGCTAGGTGCTCCCTCAAGAGGCAAAAATGGCCCTTTTCAAGGACAACAAGGAGAGGGGGTGACCATCTCCTTCTTGGGACCTCAAGGAACCATCCTCACCTCTGAAATCCCTCAAGATTTCAGTGGTGAGGAGGCCCAAACACCAAGGTCTCGGAGCTCACTCAAAATAGCACAAAATGGAGCCCCTCAAGGCTTAAGAGGGGTCAAACACCTCCAAATCACAAAACACTCTAAACAAACTATTTAGAGGGCCCAAAAACAGAACTTTTTTATATTATACACTAAGTTCAAAAAATAGTTCTAAGATAGGCAAAAATAGTATGCAAGAATGGGGAATAAAGGGACAAACTTCTTACCCTTGAAGACCTTCTTCACAAATGGTGGACCAGTTGCTTCCTTGAGCTTAAACCAGCCCCAAAACTCTGAAAACAATCCCTTAGAACCTCAATAGCCAAGGGAAGGTGTAATGGTAGGTGTTTGTGTGCAATACTATGGACAAATACACCTAGAACACTCAAGAGAGAGAGAGAGATATAGAGATAGAATATATATAAGCTCTAACCCTAGAACCAGAGCTTCTAACAATGTTTTTCTCTCTAAAATGTCTAACCCTCAAGCCAAGAGAGGAGGGCTCCTCTTATAGAGAAGCCAATCTTGTAAAGCTTACTTAAGAAGCTAACAAGGAAGCCATCCCTCCATACACGTGTATGGAGGGGAACAAAATGCAAGCCAGCTGTATTAAAATATCTGCAAAAGCAGATGAACAGTAGTCGGCTGCTCAAAATTACCATTTTGACAAAATAGACTACCGACCGGCAACAAAGAATGCCGACCAGCAATATACATTGCCGATGGCAACAAAACACCAGCCGGTGGCCTCTGGCCATGGCCGGTGATGTGTGGGGATGCCTTACAAGGCATTCCCTGTCCCTCTAAGGCAAAACACAAGTGTTTGGTGCAAAACCAGACACTAAACAGTCGAGTTCGGAGATCCTGAGGCAAGGCGCGTAGCCGAGACCTCCGGGAACTCCAAACGAACACAAACATGGATGATCACCGGGTGTTCAAACGGTGACGTCCAAGTCTTGAGGACGATCAAAAATGGGGTGTCTACAATTATACTCCATTTGGTTTCCTAAAAAATCTAGTAAAGAGAAGGAAATTTTTGAATTTATTAGGTTTTGCATTACTTGAATTGGGAATGTAAAACGTTTTACTCAACTTAGCGTAGTACAAGTAGAGAGCATTAGTTAATTGAATTCTTAATTTTGTTGTCTGTTTGGATTATGGGAAAATCGAAGCATTAGTTACTATCCTCTCTCTATGTATTTCTTGGGTTTTTTATTATACTCCATTTGGTTGTTGATTATACTCCATTTGATTATACTCCATTGGATTATGGGAAAATCAAAGCGTTAGTTACTATCCTCTCTCTATGCATTTCTTGGGTTTTTTTATTATACTCCATTTGGTTGTTGATTATACTCCATTTGATTATACTCCATTAATTACTCCTTTTATCAGTAGCCCATCTACACCAATACCAACCCAAACCAAGCATAGCAAGACAGACACCACAATAGTTTAGCACTCCACACTACAACAGTTATAGGAAAAACTAAAAAACTACACTTTTCTGGTTAATTAGCACTCCACACTACAATTTAGTACTCCATACTTTTTTGCTAGTTGAGAAGTCCATTGCATATTATTGTGAACTGTTGTTTTATTTAATTATTTTTGACTTGTTCTTCTTTGAATTACATTTAAGTCCGTTCAAAAAACTAAACAATGAAATACCAAAGTGATAATGCTATAGACATAAGAATGCTCTTGTTTTATTTATAATTTGATAATGATAGTCATTTAATTTGCTAATGTGACCTTAACTTTTCATGGACATTTTTCATTATTTGTCCAATTTTACCTGACATTATTTCTCTTTTTCTTTGGTACAGATGGATGAACTCGTGCAAAAAGCTAAATTGTACAAGACAAATTGGCACTTTTTGTATTTTTGGAAGGATTATATATTTTTGTATAGATGTATATGAAAAATATTAGGGTAGACTAGTAGTTATATTTTTGGATACACTAGTAGTTATATTTTTGGATGAGTGTGTATGGAAAATATTTGGTAGACTATTAGTTATATTTTTGGGTTCATGCACATGGATAAAAATTTAAAACATAATAATAAGTACTTGTTATGTTTTAAATTTTTATGCTAGATGAAATATGCAGTTTGGAATTACTTGTTGATGAAAACTTATAATAGTTGCTGACTTTAATTAAACAGGTTCAAAAATGGTTGATATATGTATTTTGTTGAATGTTTATGATTCAATTTATTTGTTGGTTTGAATGATTTTTGCAAATTACAGATTATATTGAATAAATTGGATGGATTATTATAAATTACAGGTTTATTTTGTTGGATGTTGGCGACCAAATTTTGGTTTTGTTTTTCTAATTTTGGCGACCAATTGATTAGTCCGGAAAGATCAGTTATACTTTTGCTGACTAAATAAAGTAGTCGGTGTATCACTTAGCAAATTTGGCTACTAAATAATTAGTCGTTAAAATTATTAATTTTGGCAACCCGAAGGATTTGGTCACGAATAGGTCTATTGCCGACTAAAGTTTTAGTTGCGCAAACATTTCTTTTGGCGACAAACATGTTTGGTCATAGAATGTAACAATTGGCGACCAAACAATTTGGTTGTAGAATGTGACAATTGACAACTAATTATTTTGGTCATGGAATGTGACAATTGGCGACCAAACAAAGAGGTCGTAGAACGTCACAATTAGCGACCAAAATTTTTGGTCGTACAATGTTGCAATTGGCGACCAAAATTTTTTGGTCGTGGAATGTCAGAATTGGCGACCAAAATTTTTTGGTCGTGGAATGTGACAATTGGCGACTAAGATATTTGGTCTGGAAAATATCACTTTTCGTGACCAAAGTGTTTTAGTGACAAAATGGATTAGTCGTAGTAATGACATATTTAACGACCAAAAATTTAGTCGGCAAATCCAACTTTTCCCGACCAACCAAAATTTTGGTCGCGAATTACTTTTGTCGACCTTCAATTGGCGACCAAAGTAGCGATCAAAAAATTTGGTCGCGGATAACTTTTGTCGACTAAAAATGGGCTTTTAGCGACCAATTTTTTGGTCGGTAAAAGTGTTATTTCTTGTAATGCACTTTCATCTGCATCTTGTTTGTTTGCCCAAGTCTTACGGCCTTGTCAAAAGGGTTGTCTTCGGGTTTTGACATTCACTCATGTCATGAAATGACTTCGAGCCTGTCAAAGAGGGGCAACTGTAGACACCCCATTTTGACCGGCCCTAAGACTTGGGCATTTTCTTTTGACCACCTGATGATGAAACTTGGAATATGCCATTTTATGAATATCTCAGCAGAAAAATCAGATTGAAACTTTAATCCCAAACCTCACTCATTTTGACCAAATTATTTTATATTACTCAAATCTTTTTTATTATTTTATTAATTTGTAATATTTTATAATTTTATGTGTTTGTACATATTTTTAGATGTTTTTATATAAATTGGTATAAATAATATATTTTTGATATTTTATAAATAGAAATAATAAAAAAAACAAAAAAAGAAAATAATAATAATAAATATATATATATACAAGTTAGAATATTTGGTCAAGATGTGTTTGGTATTATGATGAGTTTGTGAGTGGAGCATAATAAGAAAATGAGAAGAGAGGGTTAGAGGAATGATAATATTTTTGGAGTGGAGATGGAGATAAGATATTTGTGAGGATGTGTGGGGCGTTAGAATAGATGATAGAGAGATTATAATGAGTAAGTGCAGAGTAGGTGTTGAAGTGTGCTCGATTAAAGAGGGAGTGGGTGGTGTATTATATCAAAAGGAGACAATCACAAATTGAAAAAAAAAGAAAAAAGAGAGGGAGATAGAGATGTTGAATTTGGTGGGAGTGAGGTTTTAAAAGTAAGTGGAGAATATTAAAACAAGAGGAGAGCGGGTGAGAAAGTGGAGAATATTAAAAAGAGAGGAGAGCAAGTGAGAGGGTAAAAAAGATGATACAAAGAGGACACACAACATATCAACTCGGGCATCAAGGATCATCTAGAGTTTTTTTTTTCTTAAAGTTTCCTAAAGTGGTGTGTTGTATGGGTGAGATTTAATGCTAAAAAATTAATATGACTTGTCATTAAATCTCAACCATACAACACACCATTCTAAGAAACTTTAAGAAAAAAAAACTCTAGAGAATCCTTGCTCAAACAAACGGAGAGACATACACATACACAATCTCTCTCTCTTTCGGTGTGCATGGGCAGAAGGCACTGATCTGGGCAAGAAAACACACACATGCATTGAGCTCTCTCTCTCTAGAGGGCCACAGAAAATAAAGTTTCAAATTCTGGTGGTGCTTCACCTCACCGAAGTGTACTGAGAGCAAAATGGTCTGATGATGCAAAGGAATCTGCTGAGCAAAGGGACGAACCCATCTCATCCCTCTCTCTCTCTCTCTCGAGTTGGACAGAGAGAACGTGATCTAAAGGGCTGAAAAGAAGACACACGCAGAGGGAGGATCACACGGGGACACCACACACACACTACCACCTCTGCTCTAACACACTGATACACTCAGCACACACACACACTCAGCACCTCTTCCTCCCTCTGGTTCTATCTATCTCTAACACACACACACAGCACTAATCTCTCTCTCGGTTTTGGGGTGTACTGGAGTGTTTTTTTCATACATGGGCTGCCTCGTAGATCTCTCTCTCTCGGGTCGATGATAAAAGAGCAAGGTTGTGAGCATGAGGGACGGAGAGAGCTCTTGACCTGGGGACAACAACATAAAAAAGGTGGTGTGCATGGGGGAGGGGGATGAGAACAGAGCCCATCGGAACACACATACACATACACACACAGAACACATCTGCCTCTCCATGCATGGCCAATCTCACCCTCTTTCTCACTCTCTGACTCTCTATCTATATCTCTCTCTCTACACCGAGCCACGACCACGAACCTCCGCAACAACCACCACAACAAGTCGGTGTTGGACCGACATGGCTTAACAGCGCGACTCTCCGGCAGCAGAACCAGTACGGTGACGGTAATTTCCTCACTTTACACAGCAACTCTGATTCGACGACCACATCGCAGCAGCAGCAGCCACGGGAGTCACCACACTGCAACAGCAACAGCCACGGGAATCACCAGCAGCCATGGGAACCACCACCAGCACCACCAACAACCACCTCAACTCTTCTTCTTCCTCCTCTTCTTCACATAGTCTCTGAATCGAACCACCGCCGAGCTTATTCCCAGAATTTATTCTTGGGCTGTCATTGATTATATTTTGTTTAGTTTGTGAAAAACGAGTTGAAAGTGATTCAGCCAGTTTGATTCGTATGAGCCTAAAATTATTATTGTGATCCATAAAGTTTTGGGCCATGGTCCATCTTAGTGTATATATTATTTTATATGTGGATATGTGATATGGAGGTGTAAGACATGTTTAGGTTACTTGGGTTCCTTAATGGGAGGGTCTAGTAATTGTTTTATTTAGGCCCAGTCCCCTCTCCTATCCTTATTAGGGTTTACATATATCTATATATATGTAGATCAAAGGATTGTCAACCTCATTGAAAAGACAACATAAAGATTAGGAGAATGAGGGGAATAGTTGGTGTTAAGGTTTTCTAATTGTGAATGTCGTATTCTTTCAAGGAAGTAAAACTTAAGACAATAACAAAATTAAACAGTATGTATCTAAGTTTATATTCTAGTAGTTAATTATATTCATAGTGTTCTGATTTCTACTATATAGATCTTATAATCTTACATGTGGTATCAGAACAAGTTTATACTAGAATCAAAATCATGACAGATTATTTTAGAATTTTTTTTTTATATAATGATAAGAAATAAATTAATATTTTCTTTTACTAAAACGATGTGCCTGGTGATCATACATACTGTTCAAACATTTTCAATGTGCTTGGCAACCAAACCTTTTTCAATGTTCCTCCATTATATACTATTCATTGTTTGCTTCGAAATCATAACGTTTTGTTTTTCAAAAAAAAATAAAAAAATCTGAATCCCATGAATATATTGATTTGAAACATACTGGTGCAAAGACTATTATATATTAAAATAATAAATAGTGATATTTTCAATGGGAAAATATTTATTTTCAAATTGTCCCAGTTAGAGAACTCTTAAATCAATATGGGTAGTGCATATTTTGCGAGTGGTATATTGTTTATAAGTCTAAACAAATTGACGGGATAATATTTATTTAATTGGACATATGTTTATTGCTTGATGGAATTAAATGGTTGTTTAATTGTGGGTAATCATATTTTAATTTACATGATAATATAATGCAATAATTCAATTTTATGTTAATTCTCATTTGTCATTATACAACAATTAATGTCTAATTAAAGTCGTGATTTGCTAGTATGCAATAACAAAACTGGACAATCATATATAATCTTATATTTGTTAAATAAAGTTTTAAAAAATAAACAAATATTTATTATTTGATATTGTCCTAGTTGGAAGATTTTTGAATCAATGTGGGTGATACTGCCGAAGTGGTTAACTTATTGAGATTTAAAGTGATTTACCAATAAGGATTCTGGGAAGCTCTTCTAATATTATATCACTCAATTACCTACCCAAAGGGGGTTAATTGAGTGTATTAATTTTAGATGTAGTGTGAGCCACTAGTAAGGAAAATTTTATTGATTTTGAAAGAATTTATCTACCCAAAGGAGATAATTTCTTGATAAATCATTCTTGCTAGTTGACTTGTTTATAGATGTTAGAACGTGTCTTATATATTTAGCCCAAAGGTATTTATATGATGATACATTCTGAAACATCTGACAATATTGTTAAAGTTTATTTGCAGCCCATTGTTGTGAGACTATAATTATTGCAATATATAATTAATTAAGATTATATTGAAGTTTAAAGATGTTGATTGTATTCTATATATTCAACCCAAAAGTGTTTATATAGTGATACATTCTGGCACATCTGAGAATATTGCTAAAGTTTATTCGCAGCATATTCTTGTGAGATTATACTAATTGCCTATGTATAATTGAAAGTTGGAGTTGTGAATATGCTTTCTATATATTCAGTTTAAGAGTGATACATTTTAAATATTTGAGAATATTAATTGTGATTATGAGATTATTGTTATCCATATATAATTGAATGATATTATATTGAATTGAAAGCAATGAAGGGAGACATTTTTATGAAAATCAAATTTACTCCATTATAGTTTTGATTATGAATCGGTTAAAAGATATTGAGTTAGCATTAAGACTAATTGATTTAGATGTTGACATACTCGAGAATGCACATTCTTAACCATTTATATTAATACCTCAAATATAGTGTGAAAGATTGAAATTATATTCAATGTTAACTATTTAAGAAAGTAGAGTTTTAGAATATCTACTAGATGATTCTTATAAGAAAATATAAATTATACTCTACAATGCTCTATATAATACCTTTCACTTTTACAAATCGTTATTTCTTTTTAGTGTTTTATGTTTTCCTTTTCAGAATATTCCGCAAATCTCTTTACATATTATTAACTCCAATAAGAAAAATTCTTTCAATTTTTTGTGAGCTATGACGCTCTTATATTCCGCAAATCTCTTTACATATTATTAACTCCAGTAAGAAAAATTCTTTCAAATTTTTGTGAGCTATGACACTCTTCTCACCTCTGGGATCTCCTCATTTGTTTCTTAAACTACTTAAAAGCTCTTGTATTAATCAAAATTTTATTTTTGATCATCTTATTTAAGTTGTAGTCTAGTACTGATCTTGTTTTAAAGAATGTTATTTTATATATTGTTTGTATAATAACAATTTAATTTTAATGTCAAAACTAAATAAGTATGATTATTTTTTAATTTTTGTCACCTTGGTAATAATATAAAATAAGAAATAATAATAATAATTGAAATGGATTTTATTTTGACTTGGATGTTAATTATCATAAAGTGTGTGGGAGAAATTATTTCATTGATTTTATAAATGAGTATTGATGTTATGAATTTGTCTAATCTCATTCATGTTGAAAAATACATTGATAAAGTTTTTAAAATTATTAATTGAAGATGGATATTATAGTGAACATGATAATTTTGGTTAACGTGCATAACCTCTTATTAATTTTTTTATAAAATTATGGAATCAGTTTAAATATATCATGCTTGTAACTTCGGAAAAAAGTTGAGTACTTGAGCGTCGTAATTGGACTCTAATAAAATGATGAGGTGTAGGTTAGCATGTGTAAATTATACAAGTTTTTGTGAGAAAATATTTTTAATTGCTATGTATACTTATGTATACTTTACATATGGTACTAAGTTAAAAATATTTTAAAACACTTTTGAATTGTGAACTAGTAGAAAATTTAGTTAAAATAACTTTTGAGTTTGGGATTGTACAGAAGTAAAAAGTTTGTTGTGCTTTTGAAATTAAAATAAGACTTATTGCTATTTGTTGTTACTTTTGTAAGATGTCAATGGTTCTATTATCTTGGTTCTGACATAAAAATCTTTTAAGCTTAAAATGTGAAGTTTTTAGATTGATGAACAGTTTAAAGCTCAAATATATAAATCTTCCTGTGTACTTGTGCCTATTGTAATAAATTGGTCCGTTCATTCTCATATAAAGAAAGTGAGAGTGCAAGTAGAACCTGAAGTGTCTATCAAATCTGTTGATATAACTTGAACATGCATAACACGTACAACTCCTAGACATTCTCATACAGTTAAAAGATGATTGTGATCATATTATTTTTTCTAAATGAGCACTATCAAGATTTTGAAGAGATAATTGTTACATATGATAAAGATATTGGCGATTTGTAATATGGTAAATGAATTAGTACAAATTATTAATTAGGTATGAGATCATGTTATACTTTTTAAAAGTTTGAAATCTAATGAGTATTTTTTAAAGATAAATAAATAAATACAATGCTATTAGAGGTTGTGATTTGAAAATGGTATTGTCTTTACCATTGTCATAAAGATAGGTTTATAATGATTATAGTGGCATTGTGACTTTTTAATCTATTGCTTCGCCAAACAAAATAAATTTGATTTGTGAGTTAAACAAATTTATTTATGGTTTTAAACGAATTTCTGAGTAATGATATTTAAAGGTTCACCAAATATTATTACTTGGCTTTATGGATAATACTGTTAATTTATGCATATTTCTCAAGGTCAGTGGGAGCAATTTGTTTTTCTTGATCTTTTATACCGATGGAATTTTACTTATTAGTAATAATTTCGAATTAATACTTGATGTGAAGATATTGTTGTCAATAAATTTTTGATATAAAATATCTTGATAAAGTATTTTATGTGTTTGGCATTGAGATACTTGAAAAATAACTTAAAAAGATTATTTGTCTCATCTCAAAGAGCATTCCTAGATCACATTTTTACTGAATTTAATATGCAGAATTGAAAGCTTTACGTTGCTCTTCTTAATGATTCAGTATTCATAAAATGATTTTGAGAAAAAGTTCATGAGGCATGTCTTGTATGCTAGTGTTGTGAGAGTTTAATGAATTATGAAGTTTGAATTAAACTTGGTGCATATGCAATTAGTTTGTTAGACAATTATTATTTTAATTTAAGCCTTGACCATTGGGTTGAAAGACATAAAGTGTCATTATATTTATAGAGAATTAAAGATTATACAATTGGCTATAGAGGAATTAATCATGTTAATATTATTGGTTGTATAATGTCTGACTTTGGAAGTTGCTCAGATGATATATAGTGTCTATTACTGGTTACATTTTTTTTATGTCTGCATGAGGTCTTGTTTCATGAAAAAGTTTCATAAAATCTCTTATAATTTTTCACTATACAAACATGTTTTAAAGTTCTACTTGAGTTATGTAATTAAAGAATTTTATTTCATAGCTTGGAATTGTTAATTTCATCTCTAAACCTATAAAGACGTATTATGATATATGGTTTTAATTTTCTGTATGAAGAATAACAAAAACTCTGATGGTGTTAAATACATAATTTTAAAATACTTCAGAATTAGAGAGTTGTTAAAGATGATATTCTTTATAAGCACATGTTATAGAATACATAGTAGCTGATCCTCAAAATATAGGGCTTAGGCCAAATTTTAGTTTGCTAAATATATTGAGCATATGGGTACTTTACAGTTTTTTATGTGCTTGGTTAAAGAAATTTTTTACCCATGAATATTATTTATGGTGTATTTCAGTTAATAAAGTTTAATGTGGTTATTCACATTTTGTTTATAGTTATGTGTGTACACATAAATGGTAACTGTTATGTATGTATTCGTCTTATATGAACTCTTACAGTTATATTTAAATTTTGAGATATAAAGATTGACACTTTAATTTAGAAATGTATAATGCTTCGGTTTAGAAGTGTATATGGATCCATAAAGTATGATGCTGGTTTAAAGCATGAAAGACCTCGGTTTAGAGGAATAAAAGCTTCTTTTGGAAGTGTAAAATGGAATAAAATTCCTTGCAGGGTCTTGTCAAGACCATACAGAGGACTGAATGTGAAATTAGCATGTTATATAATTTTTGAATCAATTATGCTGAAATTTCACACTACACTTTATCACATATAGGAATCCATGTTGGTGAGATATTAGTGTTTGTAATTGTGGAAGGTGTTATATTGTTTAATAGCATAATTACCGCTACAGTTTGATATTAATATTTCTCATTGAACGGGATTCTGTGTTAAGATGTTTCTATTCTAAATCATGTTTATGTGGCCACTAAAGTTGTTTAACCCGAGAGTCATTTTTTTTTAATAAAATATTTTCATAAAGTAGTAGTCAATGTTGCCTAAGTGGGAGAATGTAAGAATTTATTCTTAATCAGGCTGTCATTGACTATATTTTGTTTGGTTTGTGAAAAACGGGTTGAAAGTGATTCAGACAGATTGACTGGTGTGAGCTCAAAATTATTATTGTGATCCATAAATTTTGGGCCATGGTCCATCTTAGTGTATATATTATTTTATATGTGGATATGTAATATGGAGGTATAAGGCCTGTTTAAGTTATTTGGGTTCCTTAATGGGAGGGTCCAGTAATTATTTTATTTAGGCCCAGTCACCTCTCCTATCCTTATTCGGGTTTACATATATATATATATATATATATGTAGATCAAAGGATTGTCAGTCCCATTGAAAAGACAACATAAAAATTAGGAGAAGGAGGGGAAGAGCTGGTGCTAAGGTTTTCCAATTGTGAATGCCATATTCTTTCAAGGAAGTAAAACTCAAGACAATAACGGAATTAAACGGTATGTATCTAAGTTTATATTTTAGTAGTTAATTATATTCGTAGTGTTTTGATTTCTAGTATATAGATCTTATAATCTTACACTTGAGACTCGTCTCCGTCCCTACATTACCGCCGCTCGCTGTGAAGGACTTGTTGTCTTTGGTTAAATACATGCAGAGTTTGTCGAAGCCATTACTCGTCCTCACAATTGCAACAGTTTTCTCTGATCAACCGGCGTGTACAACAGAAAAAGTGGATAGTTCACATGATTCTCAAGCATATTCTGAATCACAACAGGAGACACCTTCATGATTGCCAGCATCAGACTCAAGGTCTTATGATGAAGTCCCTGAAAATTGGTTGCAACATTCCATAAAGAGCTTGAGAAGCTGGGTATTACTTTACCAAAAAGGCTTAATGATGATGAGCTTCATAGATTTTACACTACTGTTTTGGTGTATTCTTCAAGTTCCCGAGATAGCTTGGTTGGTAGTTGACCTGCATGATGTTGGTGTTTGTACATGGGCTTGATTTTTTTTATTGGAGAAAAGGAGTGGAATGCGCCAATGGACTACTGAGTTAGGTTATTAATCGCCACATCTATTTATTTTATTTTGAGTGTGTTGTGAGGTTTTATTTTATTTTATTATTTATTCTTCCTCCTTTATTTGGATATGTAATAATTCAGGTGTTGTAATAATTCCCCCACCCCACTTCTTTCTATCCCATTCTTTAATCGCTTTCCTTAACTGTACATGTGTATATATTTGACATACTATACATATCCATACTTCATACTTTAAGATTTGGCTACATGTGCATCTTTGTGCTTTAATTGATTATTATATGATTTTGTGTGCTATCGCATGTTTTGCAATGTTTCACATGTCATGTATTAGAAGCCGGATCTTTAGAAGCATTCTTGTGTATGTATTGCATTAGGATTTGTATATAGGATCATGCATATTTTACTAACTTTGTTTTGTAGCTTGTTCGCGGGACGTCGGTAAATATGTGAGTTTTTATGCTTTAGCATCCTACTTGTACATAATTTTCTTATTATGTTTAGCATCTTACCATGTGGCTAATTGCTTAAGTGATAAACTATTTGAATGCCTGTGGATGAAGGCTTGTTGCTTGAATTGGAATGATTCAACGATTGTACGTTTTAAGCCCACTTTGTAGTGGCAAATTCAAAACCCTTTCGACGAACAAACATGAAATTGAATTGTTCTAATTTGAGCAAACTAGTCTATACCTTGTGTGCTTCACATAGTAAATTTGAGGATTTATTAAATAATCAGAACATGAACATATAAAGAAAATAAAAGTCATATCATGGTTTAGTAGAGGCCGATCTTTTGATCGGGTGAGCGGGGGTGCTCATTATTGACCTTCCCCTCTCATACCTAAGGTTCCGAGCTAAGCATCTTTGGTTACGACGAATAGTGGCCTTGGCACGAGTCATGGGTTTCCTAATTTTTCAAAATATTAGGTGGCGATTCTGAGATCTGATGACGCAGTCCATTTCTGGCAAATGTGTTTTGCAATAAAATGGATTTTCTAAAAGTTGCCAAATGTGGACTCTCATCTACATTTCACATTGCACTCGTGAGACTAGATCAAAGAAATCTCGGGAGTCCGAATTGTTTAACGCGTGTGGGTACCCCTTGGGCTTGTTACAATGATATGACAAATTACATATTAACTTTTGATTTATGTAGACACCCCATTTTTGACCGTCCTCAAGACTTGGACGTCATCGTTTGAACACTCGATGATCATCCATGTTTGTGTTCGTTTTGAGTTCCCGCAGGTCTAAGCCACGCGCCTTGCCTCAGGATCTCTTAACTTGCTTGTTCTGTGCTTGGTTGTGGACCAAGATCTTGCTTGTTTTTTATTCTGAGGGTAGAGAATAGCTTGTTGGTCATCCCCACACCTCACCGGCCTTAGCTTGAGGCCACCGGCCCTGTTTTGTTGCTAACGGCCATTGGTGAGGCCGGCCGGCATTGTTTTTGGTCAGCCGGCCGTTTGTTTGGTCAATCGGCTATAGTTTCTGGCCAGGACTTCTTTTTTGCCTTTTTCAGGCATTTTGCATGCCAGCTGTGCCAGTTGGAGCATATATACCTATCCTCCATACACGTGTATAGAGGATTTGCACCCTTTGCACCTTTTTGCTCTAGCTTCTTGAGGAAGCTTGAACCCTTTTCCTTAGCTTCCCCAAGAAGCTTGGACCTTTGCCTTAGCTTCTTGAGGAAGCTTGACCCCTATGTCTTGGTTTCTCCAAGAAGCTTAGGCCCTTTTTGTTCTATAAAAGAGGGCCTCCCTTCTCCTTAAGAGGGGTTGAACAAAAATCAGAGATATATATCACACATGCCACTCTCTCTCTATATCTCCCCCTCTCTCTAGATTGTGTGTATATTAGTGTTTAAAATAGTGTTTTGTTCTTATTTTTGCAGTAAAGCACCTAGTGTTACACCATACTTCGGTTATTGAGGTGTTGAGGGATTGGTTTCAGAGTTTTTAAGTTGATTTTGATCAGAGGAAGGGGCTGGGGTTGTTGTTCTTGAAGTGTTCTTCAAAGGTGAGCACTATTGCTTTATATTCCCTATTTTTGCACTAGCTTTTAGCCTATCTTGCATGCTATTTTGAGCTTAGTGTATAACTGATAAAAGTTCTGTATTTTCAGTCTTACGATGTTTGTTTAAGGTCATTTTGGTGTTGGGGGTCGTCCTCCCCATCTTAGGCCTTGTTTGGCCTCTTTTTGTGCCTTCTTTGTTGAGCTTTGGAACTTTCGTGTATTGGCCTTCTCACCACTAAAATCCAAAGGATTTTCAGTGGTGGTGAAGTGGTTTGGGGGTCTTGTGTAGGGGAGGGACACCCTCTCTCCTTTTGTCTCATATGCTTGTGTTTTTGGCTCATAAGGGTAGCATGCATGCTTAGTCGGTTTTGGCTCCATCTCAGTGGGTATTTAGTGATATTTGGTCATGGTTTACCTCTGTTTTAGGTTGGCTTGTTGACCCCTTGCATGCACCATACACTTGCCTTGCATTCCTCTATTTTGCTTAGAAATGCATTATGCATTTAGACCACCATGCTTGCATGTTTTGACTTAGCTTTGTGAAGTTTTTAGTCATGTTTTAATGTGTTTAAGTTCTATTTGGTGTCAATTTGGTCATGCTTGCCATGCTTTATATAGCCTCTTTGCATTCTAGCTTGTTGGCTTCGGGTGTGTGAGTCATTAGCATGCTTCATTTGAGCTATTTCAGCAATTTAGCATCACTTGTCATCATATTTCAGTCCATGTTTCGTGGCCACACACTTGCATTTATCACCTATTCTATGCTTTGGAGAGTTGTTGTTTCATGCTCCTTATTTGGACCATTGCATGTGCCTCCATGATTTGGTCTTTGGAAGACCTTCTCATTGGGTTGTGGGGTTTGTTTTGGTGTATTATAAATCTGATTTTATTTGCCTAAGTCATGTCATGTTCGGTTGTAAGAGGTGTAGTGCACTTGCCCTTTTGGGCCTTGTATGCGTCTTATTTTGTGCCCTTCTTTACAGCATGTTTTGGCTTTGTTCCATATGAGTTTTAGCTTCATTTTGGTCTTCCTCGAGACTGTTTTGAGTCGCTTTGACCATTTGGAGCTTGGTTGACATAGTCATGGTTCAAGTCTCGTAGCTAGCTTTGAGCTTTAACTCCATTAACATGCCATGTTTGCATTGTGTAGTCGATTTGGCATCATTCTTCATGTGATTTCAGAGTTTATTGTAATGCCATATCCTCATAATTGATGGACCAACATGTGTGCATGTTTATCTCGCATTTTGGTGCCTTATTTTTGGTATTTTGGCCACTGTTTTGGGTCATGGCTGAGGCCTCCCATTCCGGTTTAAGGCCACCCTTGTACATGATTGGATGTTTGGCATATTGCATCTTGTTACATCATTTGCATGCTTGCATTATATCGTGTTCGCATGTTCTTGTTTCATTAGCTTAGCTTGCATGTTAGGTTGCATTGCATTGCATCTTGCATGCTTAGCACATTGTACATTTGCATGCTTAGGTTGCATCGCATTTGGCATGCTTTGTTGACTTAGCCCCATATTGCATACTTGAACCATTTTGCATATTTGAGCCATATTGCATACATGCATTGCATTGTGTTTGGTTTGGGGTGTCAAACCAAACATGAGGTATGAGGTGTGTTCGTACTTAAAGTGACGAAATATGCCTCAATCCTCGGTCACCGACACTCTTGATCCCAACATGATAGAGTGTGTAGTATTCATTTGTTTTCGTTGCATTCATTTTAAATTGATTTGCGAACTTGGCACCTTTGGCCATCATGCATTGAAATGTGTGATTGGTGGCTCGAGGACCGAGGGTCATGCTCCCTTGAGTTTATTGCATGATAGGGAGAGTGGCTATGCACACATTGCCTTGAAAATATTTTGCCATGTACTGTCTGTCCTCTGTTGCAGCAAAACCAGTATTCTGTAGGAAGAAATGGCCGGTCGGCAATCTTCAGTGCCGGCCGACCACAAAAGTCCAGCCGGTGGACCAACTTCTGGTCGGTTACCATATTTCCATAGCCGGTGGTCATATATCTTGGCCGGTGATATTCCATAATGATCAGGGAGTAATTCAGAAGCATTCCAAGAATTTTCACAATTATTAGAGGTGCAGAACAGTGCAAACAGAGGCAACAGAGGCATGGCAACGGGTTTCTGAGCAAGACAAATCGAGCATGCATCATTCCATCATTCCGAGGCAAGACTGCGGCCACTTCCTTTTCTAATTAATTTGTTTAATTAGTTAGAGTTTTGTAATATTTAATTAGCTAGAGTAGTCGATTATTTATTTGGTCTGTATTATTTATTCAGACCCTCCGTCGAGAGGGCGAATTTGTAATAAGTGTGTGTGCGTGTGTGAATGTCTTCCAACCCCACGTCTTTCTCTCTTTTATTTACTAGCTTTTGATGGTTAGTTTAGGATATGTTTCAATTAGCATATTTATGCTCGCATGTTTGCATCATTCATCTGTTTTGCATGCACTGGGCTCGACGCATCATGCTAACTGCATTGTGTTTCAATTCCAACTTGAATACGTGTATCGAGTTGTCACATTTCACATGCCATTCTTAGGGTAGCCGAGCCGATCTTAGTCGCATTTTGCATGCGTTGCATTAGCCATTGCTAACATGAACTAGGATCATGCATGATTACTAACTAGTTTCTTGTTTTGGCTCGGAGTACTAGGTAAGCTTTTATGCTTTATCATCCTTGCATGCGTGTGAGTGTTAACATGAAAGCATGCTTGCCATGAGGCTAATTGCTTAGTTAATTTACTGCCTGAATGCTTGTGGGTGAAGGATGGGTTGCTTGAATTGGAATAATTCGTCGAAACCCGTGTTTTTAGCCTACTTGCGAGTAGCAAACCTCAAACTGTTTTCCAAACAAAATGGATATGCGATGCTTTGTTCCAAATTAGACGATCTAATCTATACTTGTGTGTTGTGCACATCACATAGTAAATTCTAGCTAATTAACTAGAATAAGAACACATATGTTTTCAAAACAAAATATCATGTTTAGTAGTGGCCGATCTTTGATCGGGCGAGCGGGGGTGCTCATAGCTGACCTTCCCCAATCGTACCCAAGCTCTCGAGCCGAGGCAACTTTGGTGATGACGGACATGTGGCCTTAGGCAACAAGTCAGGGTTTCCTAAATTTCTCAAAAAAAAAATATTTAGGTGGCGACTCTGTATCTGGCAAAGCAGTCCATGTTTGGCACTTCTTTCTAAAAATCTGTTTTTCAAAACGATTTGCCGGATTTGGACTCTTTGGTGATTTATCTATCTCACATCTCACATTGTGAGATCAGATTCAGAACCGTGACAATTTGACTCCGAACTGTAGTGAGCCCCAAATGAACAAGACGGGATTTCCTCCCGGGACGTTCGGGCGCGTCTACAGTTTCTGGCGACTCTGCTGGGGAGTTGGAGAACTTGACTCGAACTCATGATATTTTGTTTTGACTACACTCATGTGTTTCTTTGCATTACATGCGCATTGGTGTGCCTAGGACACCGTGTTTGCCATCTTCTATTCCTGAACGGTTTGCCGGAGGCTCACTCTGAGAAGCGTGCCATAAGGCTGGCCGGTTACGGGCTCTGCCACGATGGGAACACAAACCCCGATTTTTATCGGGGCACCCTTTTTGACCATTCGACCTAGTGCATATTCGGAATCCATAGCGACTATTCCAAACTAGGACAAGTTGCGTACCCGATTATAGGTTGTTTAAACCGCTGTATGCGTAGTGAAACCCTAGTTCTTGACGAAACTAGGGCAGGGAAACCCTACCCCAACATAGGGGTGTTTTGGCTCTCACTTGTTTTCTATGTGCTTTTAGAGTGTGTCGCTATAGGAACGCACGTATCAGTTTACAAGTTTGGGTATCAAGCCTGAGGCCATCAATATCGGTATTTTGGGAATCAGTCATCTGCGGGTATCAGATTTAGATTTGGGGACAGTAATTTGGGAACACTGATAAGTGTTTGAGAACAGTGTATTCAGCTTATCAACTGTGTGTTGTGATACCTAACTGTGTGTTGTGTGTTTATTTACACTGTTATGCTGCCCATTTGTCTGGTTGTTTATTTCCTTATTATTGCTTTATTTATCTTTTTGCTAGGTAGTTTAGCACAATTGCTTCTGACCAAGCAGATATTCCCCAAGCACTCTAGACTAGAGGTCGTCGACTCCATCGATCTGAGGATCTGGTAGACGGACAACCAGTGTTCTACTCTTTACCCCCGGTTGCTAGGCGGAGATTGAGAAAATGCAATGTATCGGTACCGAGATTGCCAGATCAGTGGTCTTTGAACAGTCGGGTTGAGATTTCCGAGTCTACTACAGAGACAGATACACCGGCAGTTCAGATAAATTAGGGCAGTATGTCAGGGATGGAAGACATAGTGCACCAGCTCTAGGAGAGCATGAAAGCCATGCAGGAGGACACTGTTCGTCAAGCAGAATTTCCCAAACAACAGGCCGTTGTTATGGCCCAACAAGCAGAGCTAATTACCCGACTACAACAGCAAACCGGAGCATCCGCTTCACACTAGGCTCCTCTCCCAACAAGAATCCCAATACCTGAGGAGACGGTGAATGTCCAGAATGCCCAAGAGGATACAGACATCCCAACGGGGCCGGCTCCGCCCCCGATTCTACCTCAACTATCCAAGGCACCTACGCCTATCAATCAACCAGACTCTCCCTTTGAGTTCGAGGTGGACCCTACAGCGTTGAAGTTAAGCAAGCTTGAAAAGTTGTTCAAAAAGTCCCAAGGGGTAAAGTCCATCCCAGATATTGAGGACGAGTATA